AGTCTGTATAAGTCAGGAGCCCTGTGAAAACATTCAGATATTCCTTTGTGGAATCTGACAAGCACTAGGAGAATGGGACCAAGGCTTCAACCCCTGGGAAGACAGGTCTGGATTTGCAGAAAAGAACAATGCCCATAGGAACACTTCCCTTTTATTTCAGAGAGAGGAACAGATTATTATTAAATGTTAGACAGATGGGTCCTGGGGAATAGTATTGAAATGGAGAGACTAAAATAAAATAAATCTTTTAAAATACTCACAGAATTTAGAAGCTGCTCTGATAGGAGACAAAGAAAGGGCAGAGGGCTCCCTTGGTGTTCTTGAGAGGTTGAAGAATAAGTGGAAAAACAAGACGGTAGCAGGAAGGAGCAAAGGATGCAAGAGAGAACAGAGAGAAAAAACACAGCTATGCTTCCTGCTTCTGAATCAGAGTAAAACTGTACATTTTATAATATCCCTTGGTTAAGGGACATCCATAATAGAGCAGTGTGTCCCTGGTAAAGCTGAGCAGTGTTTTAAGGCCCTCAGCCCTTCCACAGGACAGCCTCTCATCAGGGGAAGCCACTGTGACACCAGGAGGAAGCCCTTGGAGTATCAGAAAAAGCTCTCCATCTCAGGCCTCAGACTGGTTGCTGCCTCCAAACGCCAGTCTCTCCACTCAGCCAGGAGACTCATCACCTCTCTGACCCCAGCAACGACAGACCCACATGGAGTCTGCAGGAATCATCGGCAATGCCATCGTCCACCTCTGCCATTCCCTCTTCCATCCATAGAGATGGAACTAGACATCAGTCTCAAGTACCTTTGCCTGTACCAATGGTCTTCCCCTAAAGAAGGCTTCCTCCAACTGCCATGGGACAAGTGTATGGGTAACCCCCTCTCCCATTCACAGTCTGTGCCCAGCTTATAGCTGGGACCCTGCTGTGCTGCTGTTCAAGGCCAGAACACCACAAAGACACCTCTGTCCTAAGGCCATTGCAGGAGAAACTTTCAAGGGCACACACTGAGCCTACCAAAGCGAAGAGAAGAGAATGCCCACCACATGAAAGGAAACCATGCATGAACTTTCTCAAGGCGGAATCTGGAGGCTGAAAATTTTCTCACCACAAGCAAGGTGGCAAAAGAAGTGACTCATAAGAAATGGATGAAGGACTCAGTGTCAGCTGTGGTGGGGCCAAAGAAAGTGGCCCACAAGCCCCAGCAGTTCAAAACCAGAAGCTCTGTAGGCAAACCTGAAGAACCAAATCCTATGAAAAAGAGGCCATAATCACAAAGCCAAGGGAAAGTAAAAGTGAGTGCCCCTGTACCTGGCGCCAGAGGGAAACAGAAAGAGATCAAGGTGACAGCTAAGGAGCCCCATAAACCAATCCTTACGATGAGTCATCTGCAGTGGAACATGATGGAATCTACCAACATCTTCTACCCACTGGGGAAGAGCAAGCTCCCACCAGCACCACCCAAGGAACAGCTCCCTCTCGCTACCCCCATTCCAGCAAAGCCACTGCTGGTGATGGGAACATGGGGAAGACCCTCGGGTTCCCTGCCAAGAATCCCAAAGATATCTGCCTCCACATCAGATCCTTAGAAACCCTCAGTACCTGGCATCCTCAGTATCTGTTCCAGTCCAAAGACCAGCAGTCAAACAGCTAGTCTTATCCTACAGCTATCAAGGAAACAACTATTCTTCCTTGCTGTACGAGGCAAGTGAGTGGAGAACACGGCAGGGCACCTGAGTTTTGATCCCAAGAGAGGCCCGGAAAACAGTTACCAGAAATTGGGCCTTCTTGGTGATAACCCCACAACTATAGAATACTCACCCACCCAAAGTTTACCTGGCCCCTTCACGGGGCACTTTTAAAAAGCTATTTAAAACCCAGCTATTTAGACAAGCCTTTCCTGAACAAATAACAGCCTGATGCAACAGTGCCCCAATAATATAACATTCAACATACTGTCATGTTTTTATGCTTTTAATTGTATTGTATTATATTCCTGTTTCCACTGTATTTTATGGTATTTTGTTTTGTGCTTTTAATTTATTGATGTCATTCTATTTTGTTATTTTATTGTTTTGTCTAGTTCTGTTTTGTTATTTTATTGTTTTGTCTAGTTGTTGTAAACCACCCAGAGTGGGTTTGGCTGCCAGATGGGCATTATATAAATCAAACAAACATGGACCAGCATTTCCAGGAACAACACTATTCCTCTTTCTCAACCACCATGTTTGGCCCAAACCCATGGAGGCCCATGAACAACACCCAGTCATCCATGGTACTTGTAGGCCATTCTATGGATCACCCTGCTTTCCACAATACAAACGGGACACCTTCATTGCATTGATAACACCATCTGACAAGCTGCAAGTCTCAGAGCCAATAACGGAGGAGAAACACCCCATCTGGGAGACAATGAAAACTCAGGCTCAGAGAGAGAGGGAGGAGGCAGCCCATTGGATCTCAGTGGGGCAAATGAAGTACTTTGTGGACATTTCCATCACCGGTGCCTATCCTTGGCAATATTAAGAAGCCAGGGACTTTGTTCTGGGGACCAAGGACAGCAATCTCAGGGAATTCAGAGTCGTATGAATTTTTGTTTTATACGTTGTAGGTAGTTCCAGTAGATACAGATATAGGTATGGGTGTAAATATTTAAATATATGTGCAAATTTAATATCATATATAGCTGTGTTAAACCAGTCAGGTTATAGGAACAAATATATTTTTATAGAATAGGTATCAATGAATAACATTAAATAGTTCAGTAACAGATTTTTAAGTATGTTACATCACTCTTTTAATAAAGGAGGGTCTCAGGTAATTTGAAAGTTAATTTTAGACTATTTTTACGTGGTACTTATACATAAATACATGGATGTCTGTATTTGATTTTTTTTATGAGATTTCCCCTTGCATGGTGTCACTTTGTGAATAGTAGTAAGCAGAAGAAAGCATCTTGTTGACCTTCTTGACAGCTGCCATTGTTGTTGTCAACATTCAGGCTGTCCTTTGCTATATACGTAAAGCTCAGCATCCTTTTTTTGGCTGGCAACGTGGGTCCAATCTTGTGCAGCAAGATTGGGCCATTTCAGGCTTTTTGAATCATGGGTATAGAAGCACAACATCCCACATTCACAAATCAAGAGGTTTTTTAAAAGAATTGAATATTATCTAAATTAGGTATCGACAGCTCACGGCTTTCTATATGTTGTTGGACCAGCCCTAACTCATGGGTTCCCAAACGGATGTGTGAAGAAATTTGTGGAGGAGCAAGTCTCAAGACTCAGATTTTCAGAAAGAAAATATGTTTGTTGCCAGTTTTTAAAAAATTCTATGACATATGCATATCATTACTAGAGTTCAGAATTCTTTAAAATTGTCATTTTATTAAGTTTTTGTGTTTATCATTTCTATTAAAAATAGAACTATATCAAAAGGGGGTTGGATGATAATAAAAGATGGGAGGGCAACGTGGCTTTCTCAAACTCCAAAAAGGGGTGTGGTGTCAAAAAGTTTCAGTTCTGCTGCCATATCCCTAGTCCTGTAACTTGTTTTGGCTGGGGCTGGTAAGATCTGCAGTTATGGTGTAAAAATCTCAGTTTCAAATTCATTATGTTTCCCCAAATTCCACTAGCATTTCCCCAAACACTTTTTGTTCATCAGCTTGACACTTGTTTTTTTCCTGCACTGACATTAGTGAGCATTTCTCTTCTGAGTTTCTCCTTCTGCATGCATTTATTTCCATATTTTGCCTAGCTTGAACAACGTTTTCCCATTGATTAAAGCATCAGCAGTTCACATTTTAAAAGATGGATAATTTAAGGGTATGCTTCATTTCTCAAAAGTACCTTTGCTGGCCTCATAAAAGAGTGAAATCTAAAGCAGCCATTCTCAATGGTGGCCCTCGAACATTTGAAGGGGTCACAGACAGGAAACAATTCTTCACACAGACCACCTTATAAGGTTTGATATTTGACTTATACAATTCTGATTTGGCCTATATTTCTTTCATATTATGCCTGTAGCCCCCAAAAAGTTGAAAATGGCTCACACGGTGTTTAGGTGTGCTTTTCTCATAATATATCTCAAAGACAAAAAAAGACTAATTTAATTGAGACTCTCAAGTCTAAATAAATTTTTTTCCATCTTCAGCTGTTTCACTTCTTGCTCACTTCTGACAGAGAAACTACTTTATTATGAGCCATGCCCGTAACTATGGTCACAATCCTAACCAGCCAAGATGGTTGAGGTGAGACATACGCCTGTTGAGGCTGTCATGAATCCAAACTCCTGCAGGCCTAAGAATTTTAGAAAGTACTTTGGCTTAATTTTGTGCTGGCACAGTGGCTGTAAATCTGGGAGGAGTCTGGACCTGCCATAATCCAGTTCTTCCTCTTCCCTGTCCCCCCTTTTTTGGCTCTTCTGTTGGCTGATCTCAGTCAGGATAGCAGTTGTGCCAGCAAATCTGAGATCAGTCAGTGCAAGGTGTAGCCACTGATACAAAAGGTTTATGCCCATTCCAAACCAACTGCAGCCAGTATTTCTTTAGGTTAAATTGCACTTCCTTCCTTGATATACAAACACAGCAAAACAAGGTGATGGAATCTTAAAATGGCAGAATAGATAGTGCCACTTCAGACTTCAAAGGGATACTGTTTTAGAGCTACACCTGGTGTTTATTTATTCCTTAAATGTTTCTAGCCCATCTTTTCCAATAGACATTCTCTCAAAATGGTTTCCATATAACATTAGAATATAGTTATACATCAATAAAGTTATATTGAAATACTAAAATATTCAATCAATAACAGCAGCGGGGGGGGGGGAGGAGACACAATATTAGACCAGCAGAGCACATTTAAAACCAACCAAGCCATAAAACCTATTTATATGTAAGTTAAGGCTGGTAGGATTGCAGTGGCCTTGAAATGAGAGAAACCTAAATGAGTCTTTAATGCCTACCTGAAAGTCAGTAAAGAAAAAGCTATAGATCACGTACAGTACCTGGAAGAGATGTCCACAGTCTTGAAACTATAATGAAAAACTATTTCTCTCTCCTGTTCACCAGTCTCACTGATCTCAGTTTTTGGCCTCTCAGACTGATACTAAAGCATGCACAGGTGAAGGCTGTTGTTTGGGTAAGAATTCATGTTGAAATCACCTGGCAAGTTAAAAAAATCCTAATGTATTTAAAAAAACTGTAATCCAAGCAGGAAGGACTAATGATTAAATGCTTGACAAATTACCCCTTTGCTTGGACTGCTTGTGTCTAACATACTCAGACTCTGCAAGACTAATTTTTAACCTGGAAATTTTATTTTTTTAAAAAAGAAGAAGAACCTTCAGCCTGAAGATACTGCTTGTGCAAACACCCCTCAACTCCATCATTTTGTTCTGCTACCTGTATAATCTTGGCTTATCTCTCATTCAGTTGCCTTCAGCAAATTTTAGGTTATGGCCTAACTTTGACTGGCTGGCGCCTTCTAGTCTTTTTGCTACAATGTGCTGCCACTTAGTCTTCCATTCATCTGAAAGAACTATTTGGAAAATTTACTAATCTTCATGTTAATAAAGTCATAATCTTTCTATTCCAGTCTCAGATTTAACCCCCTAGTCTCCTTAAGGAGTTTTAGTCAGCTCACCTGTGGCAGTGTGTGAATAAACGTTATTTTTTATATATTTTTCTTTATGTTTTGTTATGTTTCCTATGTTTGTTCACACATTGTTATGCTGAGAGAAGTCATACTTTGGTTGTCTCTTGAATGAAATCATAATGTGACTGGAAACGCCCAAAGCCTAGCTTTCTCACTCACAGTCTGGGCCTAAAAACCTGGCCCAGTTTTCATGGCCTCAGCTGCCTGTGTTGAGGAGAGAGATTTCCAGATAAGCTTGAGAGTGAGGGAGCTACCATTGTTTTGCTGGTTCAGCAGCATCAGCAAATGAGATCGGCTGTTAGAAGTTCCACAATAAATATTATTGATTAGAGTTTCTGCCTGACTATAAAAAGAAAGTCTGTAAGATAAAGAAAGGGGAGAGGGAGCAGAGCTGGGGAAGTTATCAGCCTCTGAGTCTGTCTCAAAATCAAAATGCATCCCATATTATATATGCAGCTTTGTGGCAGTCCTTGCATACTCGAGAGTAAGCATGTGCAGCGCCAATCCAAGCCTCAACCCAAACCTTTTCCCCATCTGTTTTTCATTTTAAAAATCCAAGTCTTAACCAGGGGTTAAAGAAGAAATTGGTTTTGTTTAACCCCTGTAGTTTGAATAAAAAACAAACGGGGGAAGGTTTAAACATCCTGCACCTGCTGATCCCAATCCATATTGGTCTTGCTCATGCTTACACTTGAGTGTTTAACCCCTGTGGTTTGAATTTTTAAATAAAAAACAAATGGGGGAAGGTTTAAACATCCTGCACCTGCTGGTCCGAATCCATATTGGCCTTGCTCATGCTTACATTGAGTAAAAAGAAAAACCTGACAGAAATCAAGAAGTGTTTAACAGAGGCTGTAGTTCGACTCTGAAAGAGTTAGGAAAAGAGTACAGTATGAAGTCAGGGGAGCGGTTGCTGAGGCAAACAAGAACTGAAATGTGAAGGCCGGATTTAAAAGGGGGAGATACATTGTTCCCTCCCTTCTATGTTGGGAGGAAGGGTTCTTTAATTTCCTCTTTGTATTTCTGATCCTCAAAGGAGATTGTGCTGAAGATTGGCTGGTGAAGATACTCTCTCTTACTAGCAATGGTAACTAAGGTGATTTAAATACATATCAACAATTCCATCCTACAGCTTGAAAATCAACATTTTATCCCCTTATACAAATAACTCTCCTACGAATCATCTTGTTGCTGTTCAGCTTGTCCCTAGTGGTGGTGTTGATATCAGCCGTACAACATGGGAACCAGGCAACTGACGTCTACTGCTGTACAGCTAAGGACTTTCTGTGTGTGAGAACGATTTAAATACATATCAACAATTCCATCCTACAGCTTGAAAATCAACATTTTATCCCCTTATACAAATAACTCTCCTACGAATCATCTTGTTGCTGTTCAGCTTGTCCCTAGTGGTGGTGTTGATATCAGCCGTACAACATGGGAACCAGGCAACTGACGTCTACTGCTGTACAGCTAAGGACTTTCTGTGTGTGAGAACAGTTAAAAGCTGTACAACATGGGAAGCAGGCAACTGACAGCTAAGGACTTTCTGTGTGTGAGAACAGTTAAAAGCTTGTGGTGCAGGGAATTCTGTTAGGTTACAATTCACATATTGCCCAAAGACAAAAAATAACACAAATTTTCATGGGCATATATATATATAAGAAATTTGAGAAATAAGTATTATAATTTAAAGAGGCAAACAGCATCTCTCTCTAGATTAGGAAAAGACAATGACAAGCTTATATATGCTTCCCCCCCCCTTCATCCCAAACTCAGTTGTTGACGGCCAAAGCTAGTGGTCTCCTGTCTTAAGTTTTCTTTTTCAAATCAACCTCTCACATGAAGGACACGCCAAAATAGAGAACTGTATACTGTATAATGTAGGACACAGGGCTACACTCTTCATATGCCTGTTTTATTTATTTGTGTCAGAGCTTTACAATGTGTAACACTCTGACACAAATTAATAAATATATACAAGTAATTAAATAAAGATTTTACTAAGGAAAATATATATATGAACACCTATGTGATTTTCTTCTACTGCAAACTTTATTTCCCAAGAGAGGGGTGCAATCAGATGGGCATTTGTCTGGCTGTTTGGTATGCTGCAGGGACAGGCTGGTTCACTCCTTTTTCCAGAAATCAGACAATGTAATTGCTGGAGAGAACCAGCCCATCCCCAGTGCATGCTCACTGCAGCTTTCTAGGTCCCTGTCAGAGGTTTCTGTCTGGTTTTTTGTGTGTATGTGTGTGGGTCAATTGCTTTGTTTTGGTTTTTTCCAGTGCATGTGATCCCTGGGATCAAACCAAAGCGAGCTTCTTTTTTAAAATTTCCCAGCTAATTTAAATATATCTATGATATTAGTGAATTAAACGTACATCTTAACTACTTAACAATATGAGTAAATTCAGAAATTAAATATGGAAATTCAAATATTTCTTTGTCTGCTTCTCCGCTGAGCAGAGGGAAGAAGCAAAAGTATTGTTTTTATAAAACTAATTGGGGCAGTGCTGCACCACTTAGAGATAATTTATAAAAATTAAAATCATCCTTATGGAAGTGGTTGGTGGGGCAACAGAGATTCCCCCCCTTTCCTTTTGCCCTCTTAAGGGAGCTGAACCAAATAGGATTGCCTGAAGTGCATATGCCATTTGGATGCAAGGATCTCACCAAATGGCATTCCAGAACTCTACCTGATTTTAAGTGACCCCATTTAGCCTGTTCCAGTTGAGCTCATGTAGACAAGTCCAGGCGCACAGATGAACATGAGACCTGCAGCAGCTGACCGATACATTTTGCTAATCAATAGCTGGATTGCCCTTTTGTTTACTTTGGTAAAAATGGCTCCTTTTTCCCAGATTCTGCCTTTCTGCTACACCAGCACAAATGACAAAACACCACACTGCAATGGTTTTCCCCTTATTCCGTGTTCTCTGCTTTGCCAAACAGTCCTCCCAACAAAGTTAAACCAGGACAATTAAATTGGAATCACTCGTTCCTGATTTGCTCAGCTGAGAATGGCCTAAGTCAGCTGAAATGATTCAATGAATCTCACCAATCATTTTTGTAATAATATTTTTAATTGAATCTGTAATTTCAACAAAATTGTGACCAGGAGAACGTAATATTTCTCATTTTATAAGCTCACTTACCCATGGTTTATAGCGTGTACATTAAAACTTCATTGATCCAGATCTCTTCATCTGAATCTTTTTGTACGTTAAGGATGTTTTATGTCCACCCTTACAGTTATTTATCACTGCTTGACTTTTTCTATCTAATTCAGAACCATGTCACATATCCTGAAAACCAGGTCTTGCAAACCAGAGCCTACAGTTCAGAAAACAAACGCTAAATGTACAAAAATGTTCTATCCCTATAGCTATAAGACTTAGCACAGTACTGTAGTTTAAAAAAAAAATTAATATGCATGAAAGTACAACTAAACTAATCCATAGTTTTACCTTGAGGCTGAAATCCTTACTTGGAAGCAGCTGCCACTTGACTCTGTAGAACATATTTATGCAAGTGTTTTGTGATTTTCCTCTTTTTTTTTTACTTATGCACCCTTGTCTTCCTCCAATGAGATGAAATTTTAATGTCAGTGTACTGATATAATGCCCGCAGTACAATCTAGTGACAGAGCCACTATACTCCGAACTCACAAATAATGTTGGTTGTAGTGGGTTTGAAATGGGCAAAGGCCTGTTGTGTTAGCACAACTACCCTTGTGATGGCACGTGTGTCCTTGGATCTACTGTGCTGGCTGGCAGAAGAATCAAAGAGGAGTGGGGAGAGATAAAAGAAGGAACTGAATTACACCAGATCCAAACTCTCTAAGTCCAAAGTCATAGCCCCTATGCTGCAAGACATTGGGCCAGGAGCATGGGAGTCCTAAGTAATCCACAATATCCTCATGCTGGGAGAGTGTTGGATTCAGCACAGCCTAAGCTGTCTTAGATGTAGCTCAGCTGGCCCTCTGTCATCTTGGCTAGTTTGGGTTGTGCCCAAAATCAGTGTGGTTACAGACGAAGCATGTTCATTTTTGCCATGCACTTTTTCATTTATAGAATTAAGTTGTTCATATTTTGTTGTAGTCTATTTTGCTTCTAAACCAGTATTTCCCAACCTTGGGTCTTCAGATGTTCTTGGACTGCAGCTCCCAGAAATCCTAGTCAGCACAGCTACTGGTGAAGGCTTCAGGAAGCTTTAGTCCAGTGGTCCCCAACCTTGGGCCTCCAGAAGCCTTCACCACCACCTCTGCTGGCCAGGATTTCTGGGAGTTGAAGTCCAAGAACATCTGGAGACCCAAAGTTGTGGACCACTGCTTTAGTCCATGAACATCTGGGAACCCACGGTTGGGAACCTGTGTTCTAAACAGAATCTCCCCAACCAAGCCCCAAACATGCTCCATTTCAGTCC